TTGAAGTTAAAACTCAAACATAAATATAATAAATCTCTTATAACTTCGTCAAATATAATAATAACTTATATACATATATATAAAAATAACTTATATATATGTATAACAACATTTGAATTAAAAACTTTATTTGATATTTTTCATGATTTTATTAAAAACTTTTTTTTGGAAATAATAATTTAATTGCTGGGAATTTAAAATTTAAATTTTAAATGACATACATATGTGTACTTTCATACAAACTTATATACAGTCAAACTCCTTCATTTTGTATACTCTGTATATACTTGTTAGGCGAACTTTTCTGTTTATTTCGGTTTACTTGGCAGTCTCAATTATTTATTCATACATTTTTTGCTACACTAACTCGAAATTTTTTTTATGCTGAACTTTTCTCTATGTTGAACTTTTCCCCATCATTTGGAGAGTTCAGAATAAAATTCCACTGTGTATAGAAAATATTTTGTCACATGATTTTACATTTATACAATATAAAATTTCAAAGCGAATTTATATTTAAAAACTTTGAATTCATGGAAAACGAAATTTTATTTTGCGGTTTTAATTGGAATTTATATAATAAGATTTGTTTTTACTCTATATATAAGTTAGTTTCTAAAGGATCAGAGTATTATAGTGTTTTTATTCAGTAAGATTTAACATTAACATCGCACTCACATTGTTACGAAAAAAATTAAATTAAAATCATGTATGTATGTATGACATAAAGCGTACAAAGAAATCAAACATTGTTCATTGGATTTTGTTCGATGTTCGATTGAACAAAATTCATGAATATTTATATACAACAAAATTCCTTCAAATTTTTATTTGATCAATCAAAATGTATGAAACATATGTATGATGATCGTAAGATTCTATGCGTAAGTTTTAAGTTAATTTTCAAATTTTGCATTATTACGTAATGTTGCGGCAATTGTTGGTAAACCAACACAAATAACGGCAACTCAAATGTTACACATTGTGTTATACACATAAATTGTAGCATTAATTCTTGTAGTTAATTTGAAACTGAAATTAGTTATTCGCTGAATAATTTGAAATGTTTATTTTGCTGTAATTTTTTTAAATTTTCCGAATTTATTTTCCTAATTTACCTCCATATACAAATGCATTAGTCTATAAAAGGGTAAATTTTTCTATTTTTAAGAAAATCTAAAACAGTGAGTTTTTTTTTGAACTTTATTATGAAAACCGTAGTTAGGAACAAAATTTTCATGATTAAGGAGGATACTTACATGAATATTAAAGAATATTATATAAAAAGGTAAAAAGTATAAAAAAGGACAAAAGAAAATTGCATGCTCGTAGATCACTTTTTGACACTGTTTTTTTTAGTTTAAATACCACAAACACATGCATAATCATAAAAGGTTAATTTACTTTGTATTTCTTTTTATAAGATTCATTTTGTATACAAATTGTATATGTAATATAATATGGGTTATTTATATATCTATATAAATCGATCCCTTTTTAACTCTTAATAAAAAAAAAGTAATTTTAGACTCTATTTAATCTCATTTCATATAAAATTTTTAAGGTTATAATCTGAAACTAATAAATTTAATATTATTTTCACAATCAATTTAAAATTCAAATTAATATTTTTTTTTTAGGTCTTGTAACAACACTTTAAATTCTCGTTTCTCCTTATATTATACACTCCCTATCTTATAATCTTATACACTTAATTGGGTATTAATTTATATTTAAAGAATTTATAAGAGATTATAGGTTATGTATTGATAATTTTAATTGGACCTTAATGCTACTCAAATTAAAATGATTTTATGTTAAAAAAAGCGCAAAAAATGATGATAATTAAAATTTTTAATATTCTCTACTCTCTTATATTACCATATATAATTATGTAAGATTCTTTCAAATGATATACAGTGTGCGGACTTCATTAAATAAATTTGGTGATAATGAAATTTGGTGCAGTTAGGGAAAGCTGCAGATATGATTTTAAAAAATTAATTATTATATTTTGACAAAATAAATAAAGAACTAGATTAAAGGCAACAAAATTGAAGATGGAGTGAGGAAGCAATATCATAATTGAAAACCCGGAATAGACTAAGAAAAATATTTAGAACGAAAAAACTTGAATAAAGTCAAATCATTGCAAAATTAGTAAAATTTAATGATACTAAATTTGAATTTTATATGTTCTTCACCAAAAAATTTTCCATTTCCCAACAATACTTTTAAAAATATCAACGAATAAGGTTGAAAATATCCGCTTTTATTTTATTTTTCAATTTTTTAAATCTATATGTGTGTATTATTATGTTTCACCGCTTTTCATCGACCCTTTTCACATCGACCTATAGGATCTTTTGTGATTTTCATGCCCAATATATGCATATTGGCACTATGTTTAGGCCTCTGAGAAATTACATTACAGCAGCTGCGAGATTTCCATCAGAATTGCAAAGCCCCTTTCGAAGTAACTCAATAGTAGATGACCCACCATTTTACCATTTTGAATTTTTAAAATTTTAAAGTTGTAAATAAACATTATTTTTTTGTTTATGGTTTATAGCAAGTCTATGTTATCAGCTTTTAATAACATTTTTTCGAAATTTATTTGGAATTGAAGTCTTCTTGGAATATCTATATGTTATCTTGAATATATACTTAATCAATTTTGTCTATCAATTTTATTATGAATCTCAAAATGATTTCGTTCACAATAATATTCTCTTGTACTGTATATACTTAAATACACTATATATATATCTATACGTGTATATATTATAATATTTGGAATATACCATATTACAGAAATTTCATGTATACGAGTATGTATGTCCATGTATACATAATAACTTTCGTATTTATTTTAAAATATCCGATTTCCTTAATTGGGATTTTTTAAATAATCCTTGTAGAGTTGGGTACATATAACATGTAACAAAAAAAATTTTTTTTCAATATAATTTTTTTTCTTATTATTTTTTTTTTTTGTTTTCGTTTTTTCTTTTTCTGAGTGTAAAATGCTTTTTTTCCTTATAAAGGATAACAATTTTATTATTCGGTTCATCTTATACAATATAACATTATATATATATACGTTATTTATATATGTATATATGTATATATTTCCGAAAAGATATAATATACTTAAAGCCTATGTCAATATTTACTTGTCATATGAGATAGAAGCGATATGTATATATATATTTAGTTGCAATTCATGTGTGGTTAAAACTTCAAAGATATGTCAAAAATTTTGCTCGATTTAAGTGTGTTATTCATGGACAAATATGTTTAGTGTAAAAAATATATGTATATTATATGTATATACTTTCAATATGTTCAATAATGAATATAATATTATATACAATTATAGTGTATATTATAAATTTTTATAATATGGTTGAAGGATTTAACTTGGGTGTATTAAAGGATTTCCGGTTAATACTAAAAATTTATAAATAATATTGTGAATTTTATTCTTTATTACACTTTTTCTCATTATTCTTTTGTATATAAATTTTTATTCAAGTCCATTTAAAATATATATACTTACATATTTATTTTTGATTGATAAGGATATAGGTTGTATGACACATTAATCCGTAATTATACAACTAAAATAATTTTAAATAAAATATGGTTTATATAATAAGGATAATATACTCTGTTGGTTTAATTTTTCAGAAATAATATTCAAAAATTATTTAAATTGAAAATGAAATATGAAAATGAAAATTTATGAAAATTAATGTAAATATGAGCTTAATACCTTAATACAATTTGGAAATGGAATCATAGTTTTTCTTCTTGATCATAGAAATGATCAACGAATATTACTTTATGCTGTGTAGCATTTAATGAAATTGAAAATTTTTGAAAATTTTTAATTTTTAATAATTTAAAAATAAAATATTTGTATGCTTATACCAAATATTTAAATGAAAATTTTGTAAATTTTGGTTAAATTGAGGGTAAATTTATAAAATCAAAATTCAATATTAAAATTATTATTGTATTTTATTAAAATATCATTAGTATGTAAACCTTACATTTAAAAATAGAAACTATGAATTTATAGTGTACTCTTTTAATTAAATTAAAAATTAAATAGTATTATTGCTATGGCAATAAGTATTCCAAGTACACCATTAATATAATGAAAAATTAGATAAACTATATTTGGTTGTGCTCAGCTATATATTTCAATTTAATTATTAGTATAATAGGATTGTACATAACATTGTGCGGTTATTCATTCTGTATATTTGCAAGATCTAATTGGATGGTAAATTTCGTTTTCTATTTATAATTTTAATATTCTGTTTTCATTAATTAAAATGGAATAATATCCGATTTGGAATAATGAACAAAAATCAATTCGTTTTCACAAAAGAAAAAAATTTTTTATACTTATTCAAAATAGATTCAAAATAAAAATAGTTCAACTAAATTTAGATTTTTTAAATATTTTTTAGTTATCCTTGTAAATTCTCTTACATATTGTAATTTTGTATTTTCATTATATTTGATTTTCTGAATTTCTACACGATTATATATAAATTATTTTTTTTAATTGTTTACGGTTTTCATTTCTACTATTTAGAATATTTATAGAATATTTATAGAAATTCCAAAATTAAATTCTTAAAATATGTTATTTTTAGAACATTTCCAAAATATGCAAATAATAGGTTGACATTTTACAAGGAAATAGATTTTACAAAAATATTTTTGTAACTTTCACATTTTATAACCATAAAATTTTTTTAATAACAACCTCTCCTTTTTGAGCCCGTAAATTGTAAGAGTGTTAATTTTTTACTCCTATGCTACTTTACAAAGAATTGGTTTAATCGAATGTACTTTATTTGTCTGAATTGCTTGAAATTATTTTGTTTTACGTTTTTTAAAAATCAATTTATTTAATATTAAATTTAAATTTTTTGCATATGTAATAAATATTATAATTATTATTTATTTTTATTTATTTTACAGGGCTGTTGCCGCTTACCTCCGCGCCTTAAATTTAGCTCCAAATAATGCTGTAGTACATGGAAATTTGGCATGTGTCTATTATGAACAAGGATTAATTGATTTGGCTATTGATACGTACCGACGTGCTATTGAATTACAACCAAATTTTCCAGATGCATATTGTAATTTGGCAAATGCACTTAAGGAAAAGGGACAGGTAATTAAATATATAGTGATTTTATTTTATAATATAATTAGTTATTGCTAATATATTTTTGGAAATATAAAAATGAAAAGAATTTTTTATTGAAATTTCAAAAAAAAAATCTATGAAATCAATAAAATTTTTAAAATAGCAAAGACTTTGAAATAATAAAAAGAAGCTACTTATTAGCGAATGCTGTTACAAAATATTGTGAACAGCTCTATATGAAATTCTTGTGTATTAGAACTAGAATTATTTTTGGAAACCAATTCATTAATTTAAACAATAATAAAAATTTAATATTTTAGGTCGAACCTTGAAAACTAGGTGTTATATTTAATAATTTAATTAGTGTACAAAATTTACAAGAACTTCTTAATTTTGTGGTCACTTTCAAGTTAAAAACTTAAATTGTTAAATGAAAATATTTCGAAATATAATGCAAAACAGAAAAAAATTCAATTATTCTTCAGCCATAAAATTTTTTATATTATTCTTACAAAAAAATGAACATTTTAATTTAAGAATTGTTACCTAGTTAAAATTCAAATTACTTTTTATTTTTACTTATGCGGTAATTTACAATTCCCATTAAATAACTACTCAAAATTATTCCCTCAAAACAACTTTATAAAAGCTAAAGCAATATTATAATAAAAATTGCATATTTTCAGGTGCTATTTATAATTTACTAGTACAATATCATTTTCGGAAAACATTTTAATTTGTATTTTTAAATTGAATAGCAAATGTAACGATACACTTTCGTTGTATTTTGTTCAATCTACTTTGTTTAATTAAAATTATTGATATTTCAATGTGTTATAAAAAGCATTCAATATTAATTAAAAAAAAATTTATAGTTTTATTAATCAGTGTGTTCCAAAAAATTTTTTTGATTTGATTATTATAGTTTCTCGATTTGTACAGAATATTTTAATTATCGGGAAAAAAATTTTCCATTTATTTGGCATTTATTTATTATTGCAATTTTATTAGCTGAAAAACAAAATGAGAATACAAGAATATTTGTCTTATGTATAAAATTAGGAGGTAGCAACTATAAATAATATTTATTAGAATAAATTAAATTAATTCAAAAATATTCGTTAAATTAAATAAATTGTGATAATTTTTAATGGTTTAAGAATTAAGTTTAAAAATTTAAAATGTCAGGAAAGCATCGTCATAATTAAAAATATTAAAGGAATTTTTGTATCACTGTAAACTCTTACAAAAACTTGTAGGTCAATTTTTAACCAAATTTCTTAATTTCAATTTAATTTAATAAATTTATTGTTTGCAATTTACATTGTAAAATTTTCTGTAAAAAAATATGGCAAAGCTATCACATTACGTTTTTGCAGTATTTAGTTGCATTACGAGCTGTTGTTTTGTAGTATTGTGTTTATAAAAATCTTTAAATTCTGTAATTGAAAAAACATATGACAATTACACCAAATATGTTTCTGCTTACTTTGAAAATTTATAAGAGAAAAAATCGGGAAAATTATATAATTTAATTTTTGTTTTTTCATACACTAAAATTATCGTTTCTTATTAAAAGAAGAATGAAATCGAAAAGAAGAATTTATCGGTTCACCTGAGAACTGATCAACTACAACCGTTGAACTACCAGGAAAAAAAATTGCTTCTTCTTCTTTTTAAGCAATCATTTCAAAATAAACTATACAAGGAAAATAAATAAACAAGAAAAAGAAAAAAATTGTTTGTTTTAAAAAAGAAATGAAATTTTTTTCATTTTAAGTGAATTTCCATAATAAATTTCATCATTTCCATAAAAATCTCATAACAATAAAAAATACTGTTTTATTTCTTTAAAGAAATAGTCTCGTTTTTCTTTTTAAATTCTATTTATAGAAATTAAAATAATTACATACATTAAAAACAAAAATAAACATATACATAGAGAGAGAGAGCGCATTAAAAGTTTAAATACGGCATTATAAAATTGATGACAATTCCATTTAAAACAAAGAATGAAAAAAAAGCAAAAAAAAAAAACGATTCATTTTTCTAAACAAATAAGACAAATAAACAACGCAACATTCAATTTAAACAGATTACATACAATTTTTATTTCACGCAATAATAATAGTAAATTATTTCCGACAGAGCGACAGAGTAGTAGTAGCACGGTTACAGTAGAACTCAAATTATATAAAAATAAAATATTTATAAGGCCTATGTCTGGTAATTATGCAAAAAAATTGGTATTAACTGAATATTATTTGGTAATTTTGTCTTTTTGTAATCTAATATAGCAGAATTTTAATTTTAATCATCCAGCAATTCGGGTAATAGTTGTAGGTTGTGTTGGTCCTCGAATTTACTAAAAAATTTTAATATTATTATTAATTGTAAAAAATTTGTATGCATATAATAACGTAAGATAGTAGTTGAAAATAACTTTAATTAAAGGTAATAATAAAAATGTCAATAACTTCCGGACTTCTGAAAATAATCATAATCAATATTTATTATCTTTGAAAAATTATAAATTAATATTTCATTGCCCTGCACGTTACCTCTCTTACAACACTCTAGGTTTATTCCGTAAGATGAATTCGCTTAAGAATTTGATAAATATTTTTGGTTTTTGTTTTTCAGTTTGGTATTATGTATGGCAATTTCACTAGATTTTTTTGTCGATTTTTTAAAGAAATCCGATTTATTGTCGACTTTGCAGAGATTTAAAACTTTCAAAAAAAACTGGCGAATTTCACAAGTTAGCAACAAAAGAATTAAATAAATTGCCGAATTCGCCACATACATAATTCACACCTATTGGTTAAATTTTCGGAAAACTCAATTCTTATGTTTTGAATTTATTCGAAAACTTCATTTTCAAATTCAAATTCAATAAAAGTGGAAGCTCATAGTGAAAAATTGTATTTTTGAGTTGTGCCATTGCTCAACATGTACGATATGGGAATTAGTTCATAAAGGCGTTTTGATAATTTTAATTTGGAAAAAATCGAAAGAGATTTCAATAATATATGAAATTAAAATTAAAATTTAATTTAATTAGATCAATCTAATTTTTTTTTTATATTATAACGTACAACCCCAAAAAATATGCAATTTTTTCCTAAATTTAATTATTTTCAACAATTCACATTTATGGTTATTTTAAGACTTGTATACCTGAAATTTTCCCGATTTTGAAAATAATTTCAGTTAAATTTCACATTTCAATATTTTAATATTGCTAAAATTGTGTTTTATTGTAAAAAAAATCTTTTATAATGAGAAATATTTATGGTTTTTGATAGACATTTTTATTTTTATTTATATATATACATACTGCATTATTTATGTATGTATGTCTATATATAAATTAATAATACCATAAAGATGAATTTATCTATATAAAATAAAAAACGTTTATTTATTTTATATAGAATAAAAAAAATTTCTATTTTCAATCGCATTTGTTTCATTTCAAATAAATGGAAAAATTCTTTAGAAAATTGTAGACTATTCTAGGCTACAATAACGTAGATTCGTCGAGGAATTAAATCAAAAAAAAGTGTTTTTAAAAGAATTCTGCTTTACATTTTGTAAATTACTTGCTATAATATTATTGTTTTTCAATTCTATTTTATTTTCTCTATATATGTAGTGAAAAGAGCTATTATATATCGCAATTTTTATACATAATTCAAATTTTTATTATCGTGTAATATCTGGATATTAAATGGAAAGAAAAGGAAAAATGAAAAATCTCTTCTTGTACGTGTTTTTTTTTAAAACAAAATTGCAAAATAACAAAATGTACGTATAGAGAAAAAAATTATTTGTACCTTTATAACAGTAGAGGAAAACTGTGAGATTTTTTTCTTCTGTTTTACTACAATTGTATAGTTAAAGTTAAAGAATTTCATTAATACTTCATTCATGAATGGAATATTAAAATTGTTTATTTTATAATGTTGTATAACAGTTTTTCATTTTTTTTTTTTAGATTTAAAGAGATTAGAGGGTGGATGAATATTTTTTGTTTCAAAATGAAAATCGACTAAAATGCAAATATAAGATTTTTTTTTTTAAATATTTTATTATTCAATTTTCAATTCTTTTAATTTTAATTTATTAAAACAAAAATAAATACTCTAGGGTCATGTTTATAAAAGAGATTTTCATTTTACATTATATAGATCAAATTTAAAGTGCGTATATGAAATTTTGCATTTTACATTTTCCTCAGAGAATTGAATTTAATTTTAAGAGGTTTTCATTGATATTATGGTTGAAAATGATGTTATAAATAAAATTTTTGTTATTTCTTTTTCTTGAAATATATGAAAAATTTTGTTCTTATAATGTCATCTTGCATATGGTATAATTCTCGTATATGGTCAAAGGAAAATTATAATTTTAATTTTAAAATTTTGAAATTATAAAAATATATTATTAAACACTCCTAAGAATATTCGTTTGATTATGACTTTATAAAAAGGCCAAAATTTGGTTGTAAGGATAAATTACACACACTTTAATTAATTGTTATCATACTGTATAATATGATGATGCTGCAACGTATGCGAAATGTAAACTACTCTCTATGTATACCATTAAAAATGCGAACTATCAAAATATTCTCTCAATGACGAGGAAGGGTTTTCTTTTGTACATGCTTGTTGTAGATTCCAAGGGAACCGAGTGGGACAGGAGTAACCCCCCAAACCACCACAGCTATTTTTGACTTATTGTAGCCTCCCCACGCTCCCGCCTATAATATCCCCGTTCCAACCACAAAGCCGGAGATATCCCTAAGGGAGTTGGACAACAGTTTCCGAACACTTAGGGACCCATGTCCAAGACAATTGCGCCGCCGAACAGCCAGTGCCGGACAGTCGCAGAGAATGTGCCCGGCGGTCTCATCGCCACCCCCACAAAATCTGTACAGTGGGAGCCCGACTTCCCCAGCCTATGCAGGTGGTACTTCACTGGGCAGTGCCCCGTGAAGAAATTCGCAATAGGGAGAA